CCCAAGCCCCTCCCATGGCTCTGTAATTTTCCCAGGAATCTGGGATGATGGGAAGTGTCTCTGCCCATGGAAGAACTGGATAATCCTTAAATTCCTTTCCAAGCCCCTTCCACAATTCTGTGATTTCCCCAGGAATCTGGGATGATGGGAAGTGTCTCTGCCCATGGAAGAACTGGATGATCCTTAAATTCCCTCCCAATCCCCTTCCATGGCTCTGTGATTTTCCCTTCCCAGACCCAGGAATGGGGAATTTTAAACCCTTTGCCAGGGTTGTTCCTCCCCAGGCTTTCCCTGAACACTGAATTTGGCACTTCCTGGCCAGCCTCCAGCATTCCCATGGCTCCCTTCCTTCTGCTGGTCACGTTTGCATTCCCAGTTAAGTTTTTTCCCAGCTTTTTCAGGTGGAATTGTGGCCCAGCACAGCCTGGATTTCACAACTGGAAGGTGTGTGCTGGTGCTGTTTTCCAAAGAGAAAGGGTTGGTTTGTTCCCACTGGGAAATGATGGCTCTGGATCATCCATGAACATCCAGGCTGCTCCTTTGCTTTTCACAGAGGTAGGGAGAAAAAAAAAGAGGAAATTTCTCTTTTGTACTGTATCTTAAAAATATATATATATAAATTAAAACAAAACAAAACAAAACCTTTCTGGTTTCAACTGTATTTTTTCCACCAAAAAAAGTAGGGTAAACATTTCTATTTTGAACTAGCTTTTTTCCACTATTTCCGCTGAAAAATGGATTTCCCCGCCAAAACAAGGAAAGAAAAATCCATTTTAAATGCGATTTTTAAAATTTTTTTCCACCAAAAAAGAGACTACATGTGGCTTTGGAAATATGCACCTGGATGGGACATCCCTGTCACCCACCTGCAGCATTCCTGAGCCTGCTTTGTCCAGTCTGCTCCCAAAACCTCAAACCTGGGTGAATTGTCCCATCCCACCCCTGGGGGATTTTCCTGCTGCCTCACCTAAATCCACATTTCTCCAGGACCTTCCTCCTGCAGGGATCCCAGATTCTATGGAATCTCTAGCTATATATCCACCTATAGATATAGAAATACATAATATTAAATAGATATTATATTAAATATATTTGTAATTAATATGTTATAGTAAATACATAAAATACAGATATATAAATAGGTAGATAAAAATACATAATTATATATATTTATATATAATAATTATAATATTATAGTATATATAAAAATATACTATATATAAGATATGTGATATAATATAATGTGATATAATATGACGTGATATAATATAATATGATGTGATATGATATATTATGATGTGATATGATATAATATGATATGATACAATACAATATAATATATTTAATAATATATACAATTTTACATATATGTATAAAATTATTACATATATATTACATATATATTGCATATTTCATTATTACATATATATTACATATATTATTACATATATATATATGGAGTGATTCATTTAAATCCCAAGGAATTTTTGAACCCACCAGACCTCCAGCACAGAGCACGGAATAAACACAAATTTTCCCTTCATGAAGGAACATCCCTGACAATATTTTGCTTTCCAGGCTGCTCCTAAACAACTTCTGGGAACTCTTCTCGTGCCTGTCCCTGTTGCATTTTCCATGTCGTTCCTAAGGAAAAAAAATAAAAATTGTCAGCTTCAGGGCATCACATATCAAGTTCCACCTCAGGAGTCAAAAATCCCACCAATTTACACCCGTTTTTATTATTTCCCTCAGCTCCTTTCCCCTCTCTGTTTCAAATTCTTATTTATTTTTTAGCTCCCTAGTGTGGAATTGTTTACATTGGCCTTTAATATTATTAACTCCCACTAAAAGTCCACTGAGGTGAATTGTGAATTCTACAGAAAATGGAAACTATTTGACTTTTTAACTGGGTTTTTGCAGAGAAAATGAGGGAAAATAAATTTTTTTAATGGATTTTTCCACAAAAAAAAAAGTAGATTTTAAACTTGGTTCTCCCATAAAAAGGGGAAATTTCCCTTTTGCATTGTAACTTACATAGAAATGAAAATATAAATAAATTGTTTTAAACTGTATTTTTTTTTTCACCAAAAACTAAGGGAAACCTAGTTATCCCACAAAAAAAGGGGAAACTTCCCTTTTGTACTACATCTAAAATATAAATATAAATATATAAAAATATAAATCGTTTTGAACTGTATTTAAACTGTACAGTTTTAAACTGTATTTTTTCCACCAAAAAATAAGGGAAGCATTTCAATTTTGAACTGGCTTTTCCTCACAATTTCCACATTAAAATGGATTTTTCTGCCAAAGCAATGAAAGACAAATCCATTCTAAAGATGATAAAAAAAACCCCCACCAAATTATTTTCAACAGATTTTTTTCAAAACATCTATTTCAAAAGGCATTTTCCAGGAATTTATATTTTCAACTGGATTTTCTCACCAAAAAAACTGGGAAAAAATTTTCTATTTTAAACTGAATTTTTCCACAACTCACATTTTAATCTGGATTTTCCACCAAAAATATGGCCCAAGAAAAGTCTATTTTAAACATATTTTTTCTGCAACTCCCATTTTAATCTGGATTTT